CATAATGTAACTCTCACTTCCCAGTCGCTGCGTGACCCGCAGCAATATTATAAAAATATTATATGAACAATGCCTAGATATAAAACTCGACCTACCAAAAAAGCTGATGAAGTGCCCCCTGCTGATACTCAACTGACTTTCAGCAGGGCCGAAATCAAACAGCAGTTTTAATACTGAAAACTGATATTAAAAAAACACAAATTTGATTGAAAGAATATAAAATGTCAAATTTTTTTATTTTTTTTCGATAATTTAGATGTTACATGTTGAGTCGCTCACAGATAGATGAACAAGTAGCCGAGGCAGTTGACCAAGTGCCGAGAGCAGTGACCAAGTAGCCGAGAGCAGTGACCAAGTAGCCGAGAGCAGTGACAAGTACCCCGAGAGCAGTGACCAAGTAGCCGAGAGCAGTGACCAAGTACCGAGAGCATTTGACCAAGTGCCGAGAGCAGTGCCCAAAAGTAGCCGAGAGCAGTGACCAAGTAGCCGAGAGCAGTGACCAAGTAGCCGAGAGCAGTGACCAAGTACCCGAGAGCAGTGACCAAGTAGCCGAGAGCAGTGACCAAGTAGCCGAGGCAGTGACCAAGTAGCCGAGCAGTGACCAAGTAGCCGAGAGCAGTGACCAAGTAGCCGAGAGCAGTGACCAAGTAGCCGAGAGCAGTGACCAAGTACCCGAGAGCAGTGACCAAGTAGCCGAGGCAGTGCCCAAAGTAGCCGAGAGCAGTGACCAAGTAGCCGGGGAGCAGGGGACCAAGTAGCCGAGAGCAGTGACCAAGTAGCCGAGAGCAGTGCCCAAAGTAGCAGAGAGCAGGGGACCAAGTAGCCGAGAGCAGTGACCAAGTAGCCGAGGCAGTGACCAAGTAGCCGAGAGCAGTGACCAAGTAGCAGAGAGCAGTGACCAATTTAGCCGAGAGCAGTGACCAAGTAGCCGAGACAGTGACCAAGTACCCGAGAGCAGTGACCAAGTAGCCGAGAGCAGTGACCAGTAGCAGAGAGCAGTGACCAAGTAGCCGAGAGCAGTGACCAAGTAGCCGAGAGCAGTGACCAAGTAGCCGAGAGCAGTGGACCAAGTAGCCGAGGCAGTGACCAAGTACCCGAGAGCAGTGACCAAGTAGCCGAGAGCAGTGACCAAGTAGCAGAGAGCGTGACCAAGTAGCCGAGGCCCAGTGACCAAGTAGCGAGAGCAGTGACCAAGTAGCCGAGAGCAGTGACCAAGTAGCCGAGAGCAGGAGAAAGTAGCCGAGAGCAGGGGACCAAGTAGCCGAGAGCAGTGCCCAAGGTAGCCGAGAGCAGTGACCAAGTAGCCGAGAGCAGTGACCAAGTAGCAGAGGCAGTGACCAAGTAGCCGAGAGCAGTGACCAAGTAGCCGAGAGCAGTGACCAAGTAGCCGAGAGCAGTGACCAAGTAGCCGAGAGCAGTGCCAGTAGCCGAGAGCAGTGACCAAGTAGCCGGAGCAGTGACCAAGTAGCAGAGAGCAGTGACCAAGTAGCCGAGAGCAGTGACCAAGTACCCGAGAGCAGTGACCAAGTAGCCGAGAGCAGTGACCAAGTAGCCGAGAGCAGTGACCAAGCAGCCGAGAGCAGTGACCAAGTAGCCGAGAGCAGTGACCAAGTAGCCGAGAGCAGTGCCCAAAAGTAGCCGAGAGCAGTGACCAAGTAGCCGGAGCAGTGAGCAAGTAGCCGGGGAGCAGTGACCAAGTAGCCGAGAGCAGTGACCAGTAGCAGAGAGCAGTGACCAAGTAGCCGAGAGCAGTGACCAAGTAGCCGAGAGCAGTGACCAAGTAGCCGAGAGCAGTGACCAAGTACCCGAGAGCAGTGACCAAGTAGCCGAGGCAGTGACCAAGTAGCCGAGAGCAGTGACCAAGTAGCCGAGAGCAGTGACCAAGTAGCCGAGAGCGTGCCCAAAGTAGCCGAGAGCAGTGACCAAGCAGCCGAGAGCAGTGACCAAGTACCCGAGAGCAGTGACCAAGTAGCCGAGAGCAGTGACCAAGTAGCCGAGACCCAGTGACCAAGTAGCCGGGAAAAGCAGTGAGCAAGTAGCCGAGAGCAGTGACAAGTAGCCGAGAGCAGTGACCAAGTAGCAGAGAGCAGTGACCAAGTAGCCGAGAGCAGTGACCAAGTAGCCGAGAGCAGTGACCAAGTAGCCAGAGCAGTGACCAATAGCCGAGAGCAGTGCCCAAGCAGCCGAGAGCAGTGACCAAGTAGCCGAGAGCAGTGACCAAGCAGCCGAGAGCAGTGACCAAGTAGCGAGAGCAGTGACCAAGTAGCAGAGAGAGCAGTGACCAAGTAGCAGAGAGCAGTGACCAAGTTAGCCGAGAGCAGTGACCAAGTAGCCAGAGCAGTGACCATTAGCCGAGAGCAGTGCCAAGTAGCAGAGAACAGTGACCAATAGCAGAGGCAGTGACCAAGTACCCAGAGAGAACAGTGACCAAGTAGCAGAGAGCAGTGACCAAGTATCAGAGAGCAGTGACGAAGTAGCAGAGAGCAGTGACCAAGTAGCAGAGAACAGTGACCATGTAGCAGAGAGCAGTGACCAAGTAGCAGAGAACAGTGACCAAGTAGCAGAGAGCAGTGACCAAGTAGCAGAGAGAACAGTGACCAAGTAGCAGAGAGCAGTGACCAAGTAGCAGAGAAGCAGTGACGAAGTAGCAGAGAGCAGTGACCAAGTAGAAAGAGAACAGTGACCATGTAGCAAGAGAGCAGTGACCAAGTAGCAGAAAAACAGTGACCAAGTAGCAGAGAGCAGTGACCAAGTAGCAGAGAGAACAGTGACCAAGAGCAGGAGCAGTGACCAAGTGCAGAGAGCAGTGACCAAGTAGCAGAGAGCAGTGACCAAGTAGCAGAGAACAGTGACCAAGTAGCAGAGAGCAGTGACCAAGTAGCAGGGGAGCAGGACGAAGTAGCAGAGAGCAGTGACCAAAGTAGCAGAGAACAGGGGACCATGTAGCAGAGAGCAGTGACCAAGTAGCAGAGAGAACAGTGACCAAGTAGCAGAGAGCAGTGACCAAGTAGCAGAGAGCAGTGACCAAGTGGGCAGAGAGCAGTGCCCAAAGTAGCAGGGGAACAGTGACCAGTAGCAGAGAGCAGTGACCAAGTAGCAGAGACAGTGCCCAAGTAGCAGAGAGCAGTGACCAAGTAGCCGAGAGCAGTGACCAAGTAGCAGAGAACAGTGACCAAGTAGCAGAGAGCAGTGACCAAGTAGCAGAGAGCAGTGACCAAGTAGCAGAGAGCAGTGACCAAGTAGCAGAGAACAGTGACCAAGTAGCAGAGAGCAGTGACCAAGTAGCAGAGAACAGTGACCAAGTAGCAGAGAGCAGTGACCAAGTGGCAGAGAACAGTGCCCAAAGGGTAGCAGAGAGCAGTGACCAAGTACCCGAGGGGCAGTAAACAAGTAGCAGAGACAGTGACCAAGTAGCAGAGAGCAGTGACCAAGTAGCAGAGAGCAGTGACCAAGTAGCAGAGAGCAGTGACCAAGTAGCAGAGAACAGTGACCAAGTAGCAGAGAGACAGTGACCAGTAGCAGAGAGCAGTGCCCAAAGCAGCCGAGAGCAGTGACCAAGTAGCAGAGAGCAGTGACCAAGTAGCGAAAAGGCAGTGCCCAAGTAGCAGAGAGAGCAGTGACCAAGTAGCAGAGAGAACAGTGACCAAGTAGCAGAGAGAGCAGTGATCAAGTAGCAGAGAGAACAGTGACCAAGTAGCAGAGAGAACAGTGACGGAGCAGTCATAATGAACAGTAATTCTTTGTTCATGGTTCTGATGTGATTTATAAGAACTGGGGAAAGTTTGTAGGGGAAATTGTCAGCGTATTCTGTGTCAGCTGTTTCCCCCACTCTGGATGTGTCAGCTGCTCCCCACTCTGGATGTGTCAGCTGCTGCCCACTCTGGATGTGTCAGCTGCTCCCCACTCTGGATGTGTCAGTGCTGCCCCACTCTGGATGTGTCAGCTGCTGCCCACTCTGGATGTGTCAGCTGCTGCCCACTCTGGATGTTTTCAGCTGCTGCCCACTCTGGATGTGTCAGCTGCTGCCCACTCTGGATGTGTCAGCTGCTGCCCACTCTGGATGTGTCAGCTGCTGCCCACTCTGGATGTGTCAGCTGCTGCCCTCTGGATGTTTTCAGCTGCTGCCCACTCTGGATGTGTCAGCTGCGGCCCACTTGGATGTGTCAGCTGCTGCCCACTCTGGATGTGTCAGCTGTGCCCACTCTGGATGTGTCAGCTGCTGCCCACTTGGATGTGTCAGCTGCTGCCCACTCTGGATGTGTCAGCTGCTGCCCACTTTTGGGATGTGTAAAGCTGCTGCCCACTATGGATGTGTCAGCTGTTTGCCCACTCTGGAGTGTCAGCTGCTGCCCACTCTGGATGTGTCAGCTGCTGCCCACTCTGGACGTGTCAGCTGCTGCCCACTTTGGATGTGTCAGCTGGTGCCCACTCTGGATGTGTCAACTGGTGCCCACTTTGTAAGTGTCAGCTGGCCTGTTTTTTTCCTCTCTTCATTCCCCTGTCTCTCTATCATCTCCTCCCTTCTACAATACTTCGCCATTCTTCCCTATCTTCTTTTTCTCCCATACCCTGCCACCACATCCTTTATCTTCCTCTTTTCCTCCCCATTTCCCCTTTTCCTCCTTCATTTCTTCCCGACTATTACCTTTCCTTTCCCTCCCCAACCATTCCTCCACTACCCCTCCACACTTCTCTTCTTCCTCACCTCCCCTGCATCTCTACCCTACCCTTCCACGCCCCTTCACCTCTCTTCCCTACTCTCCCCTGCCCCTTCATCTTCCCCTTCCTCCACAATACAACTTCCCTCACACTTCTGCAGGTCTTGCTGGCGGAAAAATTTCCGGCAATCAAGAAGTCTTTCTGCGTGACATTCCTGCGGGTTCAGCCCAAACCAGGAAGGCAGATCCTTGCCCTGCCTGCCAAAATGGAAGATCTTGCCTATTTAATTGCATTCCTGCGGCGCGTTAGGTGACTCCAGGCTGGAAGGTGGCTCCAGACTGTTAGGTGGATCCACCGAGCTGGAAGGTGACTCCAGGGTGTTGGAAGGTGGTTCCAAAGGTGCTAAAGGTAGTCTGGTTACTGGAAGGTGGCTCCAAGTTGTTGGAAGGTGGTTCCAGATTGTTGAAAGGTGACTCAAGGCGATGGAAGGTGGCTCCAGGTTGCTGGAGGATGTTGACAGGTGACTCCTGGCTCCCAGAAAAGTGGTTCAGGCTCCCTAGGTTGCTAGAAGATACTGAAAGGTGGCTCCAGGCTGCTAAGTTGCTAGGAGGATACTGGGAGATGATTGCAGGCTTCTAGAAAATGATTCAGAGAGGCACTGCGATAACGTCTATTAAAAAACAGTGAGTCTGACTTAACTTCTCTTTCATAAGTAAGTCTGGAGTACACAGTCTTTGGAGCACACAGGGATGTGCTGCTTTCTTATCTAAGTGCTGTAGATAGCTCAGTGTATGTATGCACGTAAGCAAAAACCTATAGTACACTCCTCTTAATCCAATTGTATGTGGACTCACATATGTTGCTCTCATCACCTATGTATGCTAGTATACTGTAAGGGATTAGTGACGCCCTCTCAATGCTTAAACCAAACATGTCTCCAGAATGCAAGTCCCATCTTCGTGCGGCTGCTTTAGATTTATCGTGGCTGAGGGACTCAACACTTGCTTCTCAGGTCTAGGGGACAGATCACCCCCAAATTTCACCTCTTCACCTTTTCCGCCGTTCCATTAATTATTCTTTGTATTGGATTTAAAAAAAACCCGCTGATTGGCGAAGTCTTACGATAAAAATACCCAAGTGACGGACATGTTTTATTCAGTTACCTGTTAGTTTTGTATATCTTTAAATTTAAATAACATATTCTGATGGAATATTATGCGATTTCTAATCAATGGTAGACAATACCCACAAGATGATGAATAGACATGCGCATCATCTGGGTATCTTTACTTGTAGACGTTTCGCCAAACCAGCGGCTTGATCAATAAATTACATGGACATCATAGAAAATATAGGGGCCAAAAGCGAAGATGAGGTAATGAGTCCCTCTGCCCAGAGCAGGTGATGAGCACCCTGGAGCAGGTGATGAGCACCGTGGAGCAGGTGATGAGCACCGTGGAGCAGGTGATGAGCACCGTGGAGCAGGTGATGAGCACCGTGGAGCAGGTGATGAGCACCGTTTAGCAGGTGATGAGCACCGTGGAGCAGGTGATGAGCACCTTGGACAGGTGATGAGCACCGTGGAGCAGGTGATGAAACACCGTGGAGCAGGTGATGAGCACCGTGGAGCAGGTGATGAGCCACCGTGTAGCAGGTGATGAGCACCGGTGGAGCAGGTGATGACACCGTGGAGCAGGTGATGAGCACCGTTTAGCAGGTGTTGAGCACCGTGGAGCAGGTGATGAGCACCGTGGAGCAGGTGATGAGCACCTTGGAGCAGGTGATGACACCGTGGAGCAGGGGATGAGCACCGTGGAGCAGGTGATGAGCACGTGGAGCAGGTGATGAGCACCGTGTAGCAGGTGATGAGCACCGTGGAGCAGGTTGATGAGCACCCTGGAGCAGGTGAATGAGCACCGTGGAGCAGGTGATGAGCACCGTTTAGCAGGTGATGAGGGACCGTGGAGCAGGTTTATGAGCACCTTGGAGCAGGTGATGAGCACCGTGGAGCAGGTGATGAGCACCGTGGGAGGGAGGTGATGAGCACCGTGGAGCAGGTGATGAGCACCGTTTTAGCAGGTGATAAGCACCGTGGAGCAGGTGATAGAGCACCGTGTAGCAGGTGAAGAGCACCGTGGAGCAGGTGATGAGCACCGTGTAGCAGGTGATGAGCACCGTGGAGCAGGTGATGAGCACCGTGGAGCAGGTGATGAGCACCGTGGAGCAGGTGATGAGCACCGTGGAGCAGGTGATGAGCACGTGTAGCAGGTATGAGCACCGTGGAGCAGGTGATGAGCACCTTGGAGCAGGTGATGAGCACCGTGGAGCAGGTGATGAGCACCGTGGAGCAGGTGATGAGCACCGTGGAGCAGGTGATGAGCACCGTGTAGCAGGGTGATGAGCACCGGTTTGGGGCAGGGTTTTGAGCACCGTGGAGCAGGTAAAAAGAGCACCGTGGAGCAGGTGATGAGCACCGTGGAGCAGGTGATGAGCACCGTGGAGCAGGTGATGAGCACCGTGGAGCAGGTAATGAGCACCGTGGAGCAGGTGATGAGCACGTGGAGCAGGTGATGAGCACCGTGGAGCAGGTGATGAGCACCGTGTAGCAGGTTTATGAGCACCGTGGAGCAGGTAATGGCACCGTTGGAGCAGGTGATAGAGCACCGTGGAGCAGGTGATGAGCACCGTGTAGCAGGTGTTTAGCACCGTGGGAGCAGGTGATGAGCACCGTGGAGCAGGTAATGAGCACCGTGGAGCAGGTGATGAGCACCGTGTAGAGGTGATGAGCACCGTGGAGCAGGGGATGAGCACCGTGGAGCAGGTAATGAGCCACCGTGGAGCAGGTAATGAGCACCGTGGAAACAGGTGATGAGCACCGTGGAGCAGGTGATGAGCACCGTGGAGCAGGTGAGGGGCACCGTCGTCTACAACACTACTATTACCAACTTATATCATGTATATTAAAGTTCACATCTAAAATGTACCAATTTCATGACTAGAAAAAAAACATTACCCTCTCTTCAAAAAGAAAAATTAAGTAAAACAAAACGAACTAAACCACACCACACCCACACACACCACACCACACACACACCCACACACACACACACACACACACACACCACACCACAACACAACTTTACAACATCCCAAAAATAAAAAGATTAACATATTTTGAAATAATCTCTCGCACAGATTCCCCCAAACTTTGGCAAAGTTCATTTTAGGAATAATTTGCTAACAGCCTCACCAAAGAGCCCCTTACAACTCTGGCAACCCAGGAACAATTTTGGTGGTGCAAGATTTTGCGAGTTATCAAAAATACTTAAAGAATTCCTTCAGAAGCTCGAAAAAAATATTTACCCCTGCTTATAAATTTGCAACTAAATCTACTTGTAGTTGTCGTGGTGAATTACAGTCTTTTAGAGTGTTGAAACAATGGGTGAGCATAGAACCTGCTACAGCGCCGGAAACAATGGCGTGAGCATGTAGTAATCTGCTACAGTCCGGAAACAATGGGTGAGCGTAGTAACCTGCACGCCCGGAAACAAGGGTGACATGTAGTAACTCTGCTACGCACCCGGAACAATGGGACATGTAGAACCTTTACGCCCGGGAACAATGGTGAGCAGTAGTAACTCTGCTCAGCCCCCGGAAACAATGGTGAGCATGTAGTACCTGCTACGCACCGAAACATGGGTGCATGAGTAACCTGCTCCGCCGGAACAATGGGTGAGCCTGTATAAATCTGCACCACCGAAACATGGGTGGCATGTGTAACCTGCACGCACCGGAAACATGGGTGACTGTGTACCTGCTACAGCCCCGGAAACAATGTGGCATGTGTCCCTGCTACAGCGCCCGGATCAAGGTGAGCAGTGTAACTCTGCTACAGCCCGGGAAAAAATGGGTGAGCATTAGTAACCTGCTACAGCGCCGAAACAAGGTGAGCATGTAGTAACCCCCTGCTACAGCGCCGGAAACCCAAGGGTGAGCATGTTTAAACCTCTACACAGCACCGGAAACAATGGGTGAGCATGTAGTAACCTGCTACAAACACCGAAACAATGGTGACATGTATAACTCTGCTACAGCACCGGAAACATGGGTGGCAGTGTAACTCCCTACAGCGCCGAAACAAGGTTGGCATTAGAAATCTGCACGCCCCGGAAACAATGGGTGAGCATGTAGTACTCTGCTACCAGCACCGGAAACCCCAATGGGTGAGCTTTTAGTAACTCTGCTACAGCACCGGAAACAATGTGGTGAGCATGTAGTAACTCTGCTACAGCGCCGGAATCAATGGTGAGCATGTAGTAAACTCTTGCTACGCGCCGGAAACAATGGGTGAGCTTGTGTAACTCTGTACAGCGCCGGAAACAATGGGTGGATGTAGTAACTCTGCTACAGCGCCGGAAACAATGGGTGAGCATTTTAGTAACTCTGCTACAGCACCGGAAACAATGGTTGAGCATGTAGTAACTCTGCTACAGCGCCGGAAACATGGGTGAGCATGTAGTAACTCTGCTACAGCGCCGGAAACATTGGGTGAGCATTTAGTAACTCTGCTACAGCGCCGGAAACAATGGGTGAGCATGTAGTAACTCTGCTACAGCACCGGAAGCAATGGGTGAGCATGTATTTAAATCTGCTACAGCACCGGAAACAATGGGTGAGCATGTAGTAACTCTGCTAAGCACCGGAAACAATGAGTGGCATGTAGTAACTCTGCTACAGCGCCGGAAACAATGGGCGAGCATGTAGTAAACTTGCTACAGCACCCGGGGAAACAATGGGTGAGCATGTAGTACTCTGCTACAGCGCCCGGAAACAATGGGTGAGCATGTGTAACTCTGCTACAGCACCGGAAACAATGGGTGAGCATGTAGTAAAATCTGCTAACAGCACCGGAAACAATGGGTGAGCATGTAGTTAACTTGCTACGCACCGGAAACAATGGGTGAGCATGTAGTAACTCTGTACAGCGCCGGAAACAATGGGTGAGCATGTAGTAACTCTGCTACAGCACCGGAAAAAAATGGTGAGCATGTAGTAACTCTGCTACAGCACGGAAAATGGGTTTAGCATGTGTAACTCTGCTACAGGCCCCGGAAAAATGGAAGGGGAGCAGTAGTAACTCTGCTACAGCGCCGGAAACAAGGGTGGGGCATGTAGTAACTCTGCTACAGCACCGGAACAATGGGTGAGCATGTAGTACTCTGCTACAGCGCCGGAAACAAGGGTGGCATGTAGTAAATCTGCTACAGCACCCGGAAACAATGGTTTAGCATGTAGTAACTCTGCTACAGGCCGGAAACAAGGTGTGAGCATGTAGTAACTCTGCTACAAGCGCCGGAAACAATGGTGAGCATGTAGTAAACTCTGCTACAGCACCGGAAACAATGGGTGAGCATGTAGTAACTCTGCTACAACGCCGGAAACAAAGGTAGTGAGCATGTAGTAACTCTGCTACAGCGCCGGAAACAATGGGTGGCATGTAGTAACTTGCTACAGCACCGGAAACAATGGTGGAGCATGTAGTAATCTGCTACAGCCACCGGAAACAATGGGTGAGCATGTAGTAACTTGCTACAGCACCGGAAAAAAATGATTGAGCATGTAGTAACTCTGCTAC